GACATGAACAGATGATAGGATGGAGCTGGAGCCTGAGAAAATGTAAACCAATATGGCAGCTAGAGAGAACAGAGTGGTGCAAAATACTAGGATGAGAGAAAGAGACACAAAGAGATGAGTTAAATTCAATCTTCCTCAATTCTGCATTGTGCTTTATAACAAATGGAGTCTATATTGCCACAGAAGCCGGCCATGTTCTCTGCTACATCTCACACCACATTAAGCCAAACATGACTTCCCATTGCCCCTCACCTCCCTTCCAATGACATTGATGGGTGTAATAGATCTACAGAAATCAGTGTTTCTGAGTTTGCTGCATTTAAATGTATGTACAGTTCATATAAAAAGTCTCTGCAGACTGGTGAAATGCCATGTCTCTGTGATGTAAAAAAAAAAAAAAAATAGGCAATGATAAATCGCTTTAAACCATTTTTTGTTTTAGTTTTTTTTTCTTTAACATCTTATATATTGTATGTACAGTACAACTGAAAAATACAAAACAAATCTGATAGAAAGATAAATATAAACAATGAAAAGAAGCTGCAAAATTCGAGTGCATAAAATATGCCCCACTTTAAATTGATACTTTGACACGCCGTTAGATAGAATTTCAGCATTCAGTCTTATTTTGTTGTAATCTTCCCAGGTCAGTCAGGTCATTCCATATATTGACAATGCTGCTCACTCTACCTGGTGAAAGTCTTCTATACTTAATCAACTCCATGAATCTATCTGATTTGCTGTCAGATTCATCATCAGACAGAGAGGCATGACTTGCTATTTTAGAGAAAAACAGATCTCAACCAGGTCGCGTATGAAGCCTTACTGACTCAGCAGGAACTTTGTGACCTGTGGTCATTATGTGCCTCACCATCTGCTCTAACCCCAATCACTTCCACTCTCTTACAATACAAATATGAGTTGGTTGGAATATTTACCAGTTTGAAAATTTCAAGACTGGATTAATGACACAAGTGCCGTCCTGTTAATGTACCACACTGGAATTAGATGAGCCCTACCAACCATTCACAAATGTCGCTTGTGTGTTGGATTTTACAGCTAAGCCCAAAATGATCCATTACCCTGGAAAATTTAGCTTCAAACCTATTCTCATTCAATGAACTGAGAAGTTTGCTTCAGTTGGAAAAAATGTAAGTAAAATCAAAAATCTATTTTAACTTCTACTTAAAAGGCACATCAATACTTTAGGCATGCTTGTTAATCGAATGTACAATTTGAATTAGTGAGTTAAATGTAAGGCACTTCATTTATGTCACGTTTTCTTTATGCAAGTGGCAAGTAACACAGAACCTCCAGATCCTAGCCATCTGTTCTTGTGTCTAAATGCCCATAAGGATAATGTAAAGCAAGAGACACTGTAGTAATAATATGTCATCGTATGTCAGCCCTTTGCCGGAATGAACACCGGTGTTATCACATGGTTTGGAAATCAGTCTACCTGTAAATGTCGGCATGTTATCTCCCAGAGCCAGATGCAGGCAGCAGCTTCCTCAGATACAGGCAGCGAACAGCACAGTGGCACAAAGAATGAGACACTAAAAGAAGGAGTGAATGAAACCATCAGATGAAAAGCTGGTACATACAAAGCAATCAATATTGCTGTAAGCGCAATCCTTGCTCTCAAAGAAATGTCGTCACGCAGCACTCGAGCAATAGAGTTTTGAACTGCCTCTGAAATGTAGCTTCATTGCAGGGAAAGATGGGGAAAGACTGTCTTTTTGTGTCTTCATTTTTTTGTGACTCAAACAGAATGTGTTTGAGTCTCATCTTTTGTTTTGCAGATTTCTATTTGTTATGTGCCTTTTAAGTACACATGCTCCTGTTAATGCTCTCAAAGACGCATCTTGAAATATGACAAAGTAGGTGCCAAAGAGTTATATCCACTTGCATTCATAAGCTATTCATGAAAATGTAACAGCCATAACAGTCCTCTTAGCTGTTTAACTTTTTATTTTATTCTAACAATGGAAACCCACTACAGTGGACTGGATGGAAGATCAACATCCTTCTCTCTCTTGTCTAGTTGAAAGGTTTGTGGCAAGGGTTAGAAAGGCTTTGTTATCTGTATGTTATTGTTGTGTGTTTGTGTGTATATGTTTGTCCATTTATTACTATCTGTTGAGTATCAGGTTGTAGCTGCAATCATAAATCTCACACTCTGACTAAAACACTTACAAGCAGCCTGCATCCACTCCTGCCTCAGGCAACTATACAAAAAAATTTAAGATCTGTTTGTCTGCATTCATCCTTACTTCACAGCAGATGCATGTCTATGCAGCTGAGTAACTTCTCTGAACCTCTACACCCTGAAACCATAACAGCCAGGGCATCATTTTACAATATAACCTCATCCCATAGAATTGAAAGTTTAAGATTAATAATTGCCTAATTTATCCTGATTGCGGGACTCTAACTGTGATGTGTTATAAAGAAAACATCATCAAAATGTGTGTTTAAATGAAAGTGGGATGCTTGGAAGTCATTTACTTAAAACAGTCAACATAATAAACATACTGTTTCCCAAATGAATAAGCTAAGGCAGCTAAATATTAATAAGCTAATATGTTTTTTTCTATGTTTGTTTGTTTGTTTTGCAATAGATACAAATGGGGAATTATTCAACAACATCTGAACTGAACCTTGTGGGGTTTATGCATTTTAAAAATGCCAGTTTGGTAATTGAGATGTTCTGTCATCATACTAAATGATTTTCACATTAGTCATTTAAAAATTTAACATGTCAATCTTTTTGCTTTGTTTGTTTTTTTTATTTAGGGAAAATACAGCTACTGCAATTTAAAGTCATGTGAAATTAAGATTAATTTAGTCCCAATCGCATACTGCTATATTCTATCAATAAACATGTTAGCATCATCATGCAACACCAGTTAACTGCAACTCTGACAAAAGTAAATATTTTCTTCTTAATCCTCTTCTTCTAGTTCACCTGGGTAGTTTTCAACCTTCGACACGCACAGACCCAGATTTTTAGTGGCTTCTTGTCGGATTTTTATCCCAGTTATGTTGTGCTACCTTCAACAAAGCAAGATGAGTTTTGTATCTTTATCCCTCCCAGCATGTCTATTTGCATATATTTCTTTGGACACTCTGCCTTACAGGCACCTTTGGTCTGTGTTTGAATATAATCATCCTTTTTTAGTTGTTCTGGCCTGCCGAATCTTGCTTGCATGTTGGTACCACACTGCAACTATTCATCAAGACCCCCTCAATGATTTTATGTTCATTGTCGTACCTGTGAAAGAACACTATTGTGCAAAAATATACGAAATGTACATGCTGTAATTCACTTGAAGACAAATCTGTCTGTCTGCCTGTCTATCTATAGCACAAAGCACTACTGCTAAAACATCTGGATCCTTGCCATAACGTTAGTTTGTACAGTCCATCTTTGAACATGGATTTTATTATGTTTTTCTGCCTGTTTAATAACTAGTTATATTATATTTTCATTTCTAAACAATTACATATGAATATAATTACTTTGGAAACTAAGTGATATTTCGCTGCGTCAAATCAGACAGAGTCAGGGTCTCTCTGTGAAAGCGGCAGAGAAATGTGTCTTATCCTTCAGCATTTCTTTACACAGCAGGAGACTTTTTAACGTTTTCCTGCTTCCCTCTCTGCTAAACAGTTGGTTTATGAGAAGGAAAATCTTACTGGCTCAAAGCTGTAGATATTCTTTGCATACTTTCCATTACCTACCTATTCATATCATGAATCTGATGATAAATAAAACACCCAGATGTTGAATTGTGGTAATTTCCATAGATGAGTACTGTTCTGGTAGAGAAGAAAAGAGAAGAGCAATGTTCTGGCTGGAATAATAAAAACAACAAACCAACATAATCCTGGGTCTGCAGAAAGACAGGTGTGTGGGAGGAGTGTGGAAACTGTGGTTAGTATCCGCTTATAGAAAATGTACCTTCTTCGAGACTATTCCATGCACTGTTATGCTCTCTTGTGAGCGCACATACGACATAATGTTTGCAACCATTACATGATGGTAATGGCTTAGCATCACTTATGCATGGTCACACAAACATCATGGTAATGAAAGCTTTAAATACAAAGATCTAAACTTTAATATAGGGGCAACCCCTCAGTTGCAGACATTGATTTACAAATGAAATATAAAATGTACTTTCATCAAAGAAATATGGTTGACTCAGGAACACTTTACATCATTTTCTCCTAAGCCTAGGTGAAATGCTTCTATATCTCTGCTTTCAGATTGACTTAACACAATTATTGTGACACTTGTAGACCATGTCCTGTGCATGTGGTCAATTTATTTCAGCTCCAGTCCACACCTTATGAATCTTCCAAAACAAAAAACAAACAAAAAAAAAACTCAAAACAGGGTTTTACTAATATGTCTCGTTGAAGTTATAATACTTCCTTTTTGTATGACTCTTTTTCTTCCACTCGATTTTCCTTTGATATGGTTGAATCTATACTTACAGAACAGTCAGCTTTATGTAACCTGATCCATTCCCTAATTATTGCATGCTGGATAAGCTCAATAATAACATTTCTGAATTGAAAATAGTTTTTTTGTTAGTCTAATGTAATATCACTGCCTCTGATGTTCTTACATGTTATATTTTTTCAATAAAATGTATTGAATAGATTCGTTATTTTTAACGTCCTATTTCTTTGAGATACAACACAATGTAAGTACACTTTTATAAAAACCTTTTAGAAGAGTTATAGCCTGCTATATGTCTGCCTTCTGCACACTTACAAATTACAGTCAGTTTTTAAGAGCCAGACGCACATGAATATTGTGTCATGATTCAGAACAGATAATCGGTTGGAACAAAACTCCGTCAGTGGAATTCCAATCATCCCCGAGGAAATTCTCCAAGGTGCCGAAAAGTAAAGGGAACAATGGTGCCCACCCGTCAGAGCCCATTGGTACAACGTCACACGCGCGAGACTGCCCGAGCAAAGAAGGGAAATGAATTACTGGGGAGATAAGGAGGAGGAAGAGACAGAAAGCTGAGGATGCAGCCTGCCCGGATCCACAGCACACAACGCAAGAGCAGCTAGAGCATCTCAGTGAAACCCAACTTCAGCGGTCTTCATCATCAGCTTCACGACGAGGAAGAGATGCGTTGATCCAACAACAGACCCCCTAAGACTCCCCCACCCCGCTCTACATTTTCGTCCTCCTCTACCTTTTTTTTTCCTCCTCCCATCTCCAACGAGGAGCATCCCGCGCACCGATATATATAAATATATATATTTTTTCTTTCTTTCTTTTTTTTTTACTCCGACCGACGGCCAGGCAATTTCAAGAGAACTGACAAAAAGCCAGACACGATGTGTGGATGTCCCCGCTATGGGACAGCCGTGGGATTTATGGTACTGCTGAACGCGTTGCTGATATTTGCGACGCAGGCTACAGAAGGAGTCCTGACGGACCACCTTTTGGTCCAGTTGCATGAGGACGCGCAGGATGAGGCGCACCAAGTTGCAACACAACACGGGCTCCAGAGTGCGCGGAAGGTATGAGGGACACTCGGACTAAAAAAACAAACAAAACAAAAAAAGTGACGCGCATGCATGTGCATTAGGTTTCGTAAATGGAAAAAAATAAAAAATATTATGACTAAAAACGTTCAGAGAAAAAAAATGCACATGTTTGGGTACATTTAAAGCTATAGAACTGTCCATTAGACAATCCACTAGGAAGCATCTTTATGTTTTCTTTTGGTTTTACTTCGCTGCACTTTGTAAATGTGATGACGTCATTTCCACTGAAATACAGGCTGAGGTTTGTGGTTTGCCCACTGGGCTATGGACCAAATTTATTTAACATTAATGTCCTTTGGCGGATGAGGCCCTTTAAGGCGTCTTTATGAATAACACAACAGATAATGCATTCTGTAACCACAAACAACCAGGTATGTTCTAACAAGCTGAACTTAAATTTCTGCTGTTGTCATTTTATATGCTCTGCTGCCTTATTTTTAGGATGGTGTTTTGTAAATCAACACAAAAACACAGTGTTATCGCCTTCAATCTCACTGGAAAACTGTGCATCTTTGTAAATGTTATGAAAAAAATTTGCAAGGGTTCATTCAGGTGTGACATATCAAAGGGCAGTGGGAATATTTCCCTAGGAGTGTGTTCCTTGTCACATGTCAAAATAAACGTTTGTGTGAAATTGGCTGTAGCCTCAGTCAGTGAGGCGTAGCATTGGGCAAAGCCGTGTCTGCATGAAAATCACACTTTCGCCCCCATCGTTTCTGTTCATTTCACTCATTTTAGTATCATCTGTCTTGTAACTTTGCAGCATCACCACCTCTGAGATGTTGTCGGCACTTGTTTATCTCCTGACATGTACTGCCACCCAGGTCAAGTCATCTGTGGCATTATTGGTTCTAATCACACCATTAAACAATGTTTATGTGATATGACTTATCCTTTTTCATTGCCTAATTAACTAGATCAGGCCACCAAACTGGCAATGATCAACCCACTGAGATCGTAAAAATTCCTAATTACAAAAAATAAGTGCAGCGTTTGCTTTGAGGTTGTTTTTTCTTATTACATTTGTTTCAGGCAATTTCCAACTAATGGCCAGTGGGGGACAAGAGTAAAATTTATGCAAATGTTTATTATATTTCAACATTGCATCTGACAGGCACATCGGAAAGCATTTATTCTGAGGTTTGACCTGCTCCTTGGCTGTCACCAAAGCATAGGGAGGTCTTTAATTTGTGTACAGTGCTGAAGGGGAATCTCTGGATGATGCATCTCATTTCACTGCCTATGTGATTTATCACGGTTGATTCCTCTTCTCTAGTGCCTTAAAATAGACCCTTTGTTAAACATAGGAAACCATTGGTCCTGTGACCCCAATGTCTTTCTCCTGCATTTTTTGATGCAATATTTTTTGAGTGTATGTGTTTATTCTTTGGGATTACTGTATGATTGTTCTCATATCTGTTTTGGTTCATAAGATGCTTCTTTCTCTCTCTCTGTTTTTTTTTTAAATGCAGCTTCCCTTTGGAGATGGCCTGTTTCACTTCTATCCTCAGGAGACTTCAAAGAGGCGAAGCAAACGCAGCACTCGTATCAAACAGAGCCTCCAAAAAGACAGAAGGGTGAGCGTTAATTATACCTACCCGTGTCTGAAACTGTGTGACTTTTCACTCAGTCTGCGACGCTGTGTTTTTTGAGGGTCGTGTTTGAGATGAAACCCATTACCGAAGTTGAGACGGAAAATCATTAAAAGTTCACGATATGGACACGACTTTAGGGATCTCAAGGAGGTGGAGAACAATGAGCACTAAGCAGATATAACTGAAATAAATGTTGAAAGGCAGCAGAAAAGCCTTTTGTTTTCTAGAAAATAAGATACGTTCTACAATCTTCAGTCCTTCTCAATTATTAGAGCTGCTTGAATGTCAAAATCATCTTTCGTTGTCTAGTTGTGCTGTATTGTTTGTGTAATTACAGCAGTTACAGCAGAAGCTGCCACCTTATGATGAAGATGACACAAATTACAATGGGAAAGGTGTACAGTAATACTTTAAGCTCAGTTTAACTCTAATGTCTTTGGTCTTTCCTCACTTCCTTTTTGCTGATTTCAGAAAATTTGTGCTTCTCAAAGTGGCTTGGATTGATTCTTAAATCTCTATGAATGATCAAATTACTGTATTTTAGATATGTTTCTACTACAGAAGAGTTTTTCCAGGAAGCCTTTCTGTGGCCTTTATGTGTGCCCTTCTTTCCAGTTTATGCAGATTTTCCACTGGAATGATCCCAGTTAAAAAGCAACCACATATACCTTAGCATTAATAGGCTGCAACATTATTCAAACTGTGATTGTATAAGTATATTGAGAAATTGTGGGGGCATTTTGACAGAATCAGCTTTTCTGTCATAGTAACATAAAAAAAAAGAATTTCAAAACAAGTTTCTCAAAGCTTGTGGTTTTAAAGGCAAAGTAAAGTAAAGCAATCAAAATGCTATCTCACATGATGCATCTATGCATGTTTCTCTAAACTTTTATCAGACTTTATTAACAGGTAAATTATTTTAAAAAGCACACAGTTCAATCAATAAACCCCTTTTTTCAGTTAAAATATCTGAGGAGAGTTAAATCAGTTTTATTTATATAATCCCATTCATACACATAGTGTACACACACAAAATGTTTTACAGAAATGAAGGAAATACCTTAAAGCAGCCCTTAAAACAAAATTATATATTTATATGGGTTTTCTTATATTGGCATGTCCAGTGTAATAAGTCCTCTTAGAGACACATCCTAATAGTCATCAAATTGAACCCTGCATAAATAAATAAACCTAAAAAAATGCAACAAATGGGATTAATAACTTCCTAGTCAACAACGATGCATATTGAAGTAGCCATGATAGATTTGCAAACTCATCAGCAGGATACTGAATTCAACAGAGGCATGACAGAAAAACACATTAATTCTTGTCTTTGCAACATTATGTTTTGAACATCGAAAAAATCAATTATAGACATAAAATATTTGTAACACCTTCTAAATACATGTATTAGATGTAGGGATACATTCATATCACTGGATGGCAGTTTGTATAACTCTGGGAACAAACTTGCTGGTAATGCCTGAACTCACTTTGATGAAGAGCTAAATGTGAATAGCGTTAACTTTGCCATAAGAACTGAGAAACCACATATTTAACTGAAAAAATATAAACAAACAGAAATCTTGATTTCTTATATCAAGAAAATCAAGAAATAAAAATTTTGGTTTTAGGTTTTTGATATTTTTGCAGTGTTTGCCACAGGATATGCTTGACTTCCATCTACTGTAGCATGTGTAGTATTCACCAGATTTTAAATTCACTAAGACTGCTTAGCTCACATTTCTGCCTGTTCTGAGTCTGTTGAAGGCACAGTCACACAAAGGCAATAGCCAGTTTGAACGATGAAAGGCTGTGAATGAATCTGTTTGTTCCAGTGCAATTTGTCTTGTGTAACTCCACATGTTTAGCTTGGTCTATTGTCGGAGGCGGTAAGAGCGTAGGTCCTGCTGCAGACAATCAGCTGACCTCTCTAATTACGGTTGTGAGAGGTGCTAATGAAAATAAATGTGAGCCGCTTCACCGAGCTAATGCAGCTAATGGAAGTGAGACAACACAGACATGGACAGGTCTACATTCCAGATGCTAAGGTTTAATCAGACTCTTGGTGTGCTTACATGGATTTCCATGAATCTCTGGACCCTATGAAGACGGACTCATCAATGGTAGTTCCTGTGACCTTATAAGATTCAGAGACAGCTACAATGGTTCACATTTACAGTCAAAGTTGCGTTAAAATGTTAGTATTTTAGCATGCTGTTCATTTTTGTTTTAAAATTTTTTGATTTTGAGTTATTTCTGCTGATATAGAGAATTTGCACCCAGTGATGACAGTTTTAAAGGCGTTTTTACAAGAACAGCAAGCCTGCTTCCACGGACAGTATGATAAAGTTAGCCGACATCGCTACTGTTCATGTGTAAGCGGCTAAGTATCCCCAAATGGCACTGTGACATTTTCTATCCTGATTTCAGCTTCAGATACTTGTAAGTGAAATATAACCAGCAATAGTTTCAGTTTCATATACAATTTCTTCTAAGATACCTATGTTTTGACTTCACATATTCCAAATAGTTCTAATTTCGGACTTTTTTATTTTATTATTATTATTATTATTTATTTTACATTTATTTGAAGTTGAGAGAATAATTCTAAATATTGTAGTGTTGGTTCTCACTGAAGATATGAGAAAAGAAACTTAGATACTTTATCAGCAAACTGTTCAACCCTGGTGGCCTTCTGCTGTCTTTCTGTATTGATATATTTGCTCCAGATTTACTAATACATAGCAGTACACTACAAAAGCTGAATAGTTGAAAAATGTCAAATTTAAAAAGTAATCATAATCTTGATTCCTGTGTGATTTTCGAAAGGTGGCAAGAGTATCAGCATTAGATACCCTGGTACTCCAAAGGACCACTAAGTGGGGTAATAATAGTCCCATAAAATTCAAATTATGAAAGGGTCAGCTAGCTTTACAGTGTCAGGTTGTGATAGAGCAAATACAGGCTGTTTGTACAGCTAAGCAATCATGGGATTTCAAGCTAAAACATCTGAAACACTGGTAATCAGACTCTTGGTGTGCTTACATGGATTTCCATGAATCTCTGGACCCTATGAGGACGGACTAATCAATGGTAGTTCCTGTGACCTTATAAGATTCAGAGACAGCTACAATGGTTCACATTTACAGTCAAAGTTGCGTTAAAATGTTAGTATTTTAGCATGCTGTTCATTTTTGTTTTAAAATTTTTTGATTTTGAGTTATTTCTGCTGATATAGAGAATTTACACCCAGTGATGACAGTTTTAAATGTGTAAATATGAATCTTTTTATGCACATAATAGGTTGCACTTAAAATAAAATACATCTTTGTTCCTTCATTAGAGGTGATGATGGCTGATAATAATTTAAAAAAAGAGGTGGTCAGGGGCCAAATACTCTGGTCCGAGTTTCAAAGTTAAAATGCTGGAATCATATTAGTGCTGCTGCTGTGTTCAGACCTTTTAGAGTGGAAGATGTCAGACGCACATTTTATTCATTGCACTCTATATCGACCCAGATGAGACACACTTTACGCCTCTTGTAATTCTGCAATGATAGCAGCTTCATGAGTTATAGTGTTCATTTGTACCGTGCATGGCTGGGTCAGTTTGTGATTTATAGAGTCAAAGATTCAACAAAAAATGAAAAATACAAATTAAATGGCAAGACAATTTAGCATGAGAACAGGAGAGACTAGTCAAACTATTTCAATTGCTCAAATGAAGTGAATTGAATTAACTCATAAATGTGAGTCTTCATTTAAAATTAAGGTAGATTTACAAAAAGGTGATATTGCTTTAGTTTTCATAAATTTACAGGGAATATTAAATGGCAGTCTAGCTTTAATATATGCTGAGCAGCGACAACAAGGGTATACTCCGTGACCAGGACTCCTGTTATTTCATTTATTAGAATGTTTACCCACTACTTCACTGACAGGAACTTTTTTTGTTGTTGTTGTTTCTCTTTTTCATCTTTTTTTTGTGATCTGTCTTGTCCGCTCAATTATACAGCTGTGTTTTTTAAATCATTGTTGTTTTATTTGTAAATGTAGATATACCCATGGACTGGAATAAGCTATGAAAGCTGGTGAGTTGGAGGCATTCATATTTAAAGCATGATCAAGCTCTTTACACCCCTGTACAAGCAAAGAAACAAAGCAAAAAAAATAAAAAAAATAAAAATCACGGGGGAACTAGAACAGTAAAGTATCAAAGCACTGTATTTCAAAGTGAAATGAAGCGTTGTGAGTTGGCTGTTGGCAAGGGCGGACAGTGACAGTGGTGCATGGGCACTGTTTGATGTCGTGAGTGGGAAGTATGACATGCTGTCCAAGGGAAATACCCACTCTTCCACGAAGTGGAGGAATAACCTGCTGCTGGATGGAGAGAAATGTTGAAAAATAAGGAAAACAGTGGTATATTTTAAACATTTAACAATTGGGAAAACGAAGAGAACTGAGGATTGACCTGTCTTTTAAAGGATTTCCTGTCTGATTTGCAGCACGTATGTTTGTTCCTCCTGATTGATTATAGGGTGACTTAAATGAGACTCACAAATGAATACACTTTGGCCATTTGAGAAAGGCGCCTTAAGTGCTGCTCTGCCTTCTCATCAGAGGTGGTAAATACACTTGAAATTGCCTGTTTTCTGAGTCACATTATGGTGAATTTGCAAGAGTAATCATAAAAGGTACACTTATCAGTGACCCATTTTTCAAGCGTGGTTTTGAAACTGTGAAAACTTACAGGCCCTGAAAGTTATAAGGATAACTATACAATTGGCATTTCTAACCAAGCATTTATGAAACATTGATTTATGGCGTTGAAAGATTGCAGGAATGTTTCATTTTGTTTTTCATGCAGCTGTACGCACAAAGCATTCATAAATTGAGTGACCAACATAGACCTTTATTATCCATTATTCAAGACAATTGGCCATTTTTTGTATTTTTTTTTCTCTTTTTTTGGCATATGGTTGCATATGTCCTGAAATGTCACATGCCTGAAAGCTGAGTTCGTCAGACACATTGTTCTTTTCTTCAAACTGCTAATAATTATATAGCTATATATTTAAACAGAAAATAAACATGTTCAGAAACTAAAGTTATACAGTGTAGTGGCTGAGAAATAATTAACATAAGAAATTAACTGTGCCACTTTCATCAACAAACTTTAAATATTCTGCAGACATGGGACAAGATTAATGAGAAACTGCTGACTTTTCTCCTTGTAATACCAACTCTTATTTTTTCTATCTCAATTACAAAAAAAAAGCATTTCAGAGTAAAAGTGTAATGCAAAGTTAATTGTCTCCTTGAAAGCAGTAATGACTCTGTTTTTCCTTTTTTATTGTCTGAATGTACGCATAGAGTGACTGTTTTCGACAGTGTTTAGTAACTTTCCTGTAACATATCCACTCCTTATGTGTTACATCCCAGGGTTTTAAGTTGGTATGGAGATAACGTTTCTAATAACAATAATAATAAAAAAAAACTAAGGCAGAGCGCAGGTGTTCATCCACCTGGGTTTCTTTGATAACTCAGGAAAGCCCTGGTGTTTTTGTGAACATAATTGCGATGGTTTGTAAGGTTGTCTGGAGAGAAAAGAAGCTGTGGCTTTGTGGCAGGTGTGTCTGGCAGCCTCGGCTTTACCTGGAAAGACTCTTATTAGATGAAGGGGGGGAAAAAAAACAAACTGTTATTTTGATTGACAAGAAGGTCTTCCTTCATGGTGAGAACAGCACAATTGAGTTTTGTGATTTTCTGTGCACAAAACAGCACACAATGCAACATCTTTAGAGTTACAGGAAATTCTCTTTTTGTTTCTGCTTCAATTTCCCAGCACATTTATTTCATTATGCTACTGTTTTGTTTTAACTTTCTTTTTTTTTTTTCCCTTTGAGCTCACTGCTTTCTTCTGTGTCATTTCTCTGCTTCTCGTACCCAGGTAAAGAAAGTCTTCGAACAGGAAGGTTTCAGTCGTCAGAAGCGAGGCTACAGAAATATCAATGATATTGAAGTGAACATGAGTGACCCTCTGTTCACCAAGCAGTGGTATCTGGTGAGTAATCAGCCGACTAGCTGCGTCCGTGCTGCCTGACCTTTCTCACCAGCCCACATTCTTCCACGCAAATTACTTGGAATCCAGGCTTTTTCCACTCTGCTTGCAGAATCAATATCGTTACTCATTCTTAGATTAGTTTGGCCAAAATAGAGATGTGTAATTTCTGCACTTGTGCATGCTAGATGCCCACACCCCCCTCCTACCCTATCCCACTTGTCGTGCTCATCCTTAATGGCAAGCATGGCTTTTATGCTGCAGCAAGCTTTTCTTCATTCATTTGAGGCAAAAGAGGCACATGCTGTATTGCTGACATTTATGACCTTTCCTGCCTTTAACCTTCATTCTCTCAGAACCGAACCAGCCATATTCCTTCCGGTGCATGCAAGCATCCTCTACCATAGATAACATCCTAATAATGGCTCATCTGGGTGCAGTGAGTCATGAATGTTCTCCATGTTGTCCAGATAAACACAGGGCAGGCAGATGGGACCCCCGGGTTGGATCTAAATGTGGCTGAGGCTTGGGCACTGGGGTACACAGGCAAAGGAGTCACCATCGCAATCATGGATGATGGTGAGCTTTAATCTGGTCTTTTTTGAATGGTCTGTAGCAATCACTAAGCTTATGCAAATTCCTCCATTGGTTTGATAAATACGATACCTGTTTACGACTCAGACAGTATTTTGCTATGATATTTTGGGACAAATTTTGTGCAGTTGATAGAATATATAAATGAGATTTATTTTTTCAGAAGAATGAAACCATTTTGTTCAATGCAATTTTACTGTTTCAAAGACAATAATAATCAGTGATTAGTATTTTTATTTAACATTGCAGTTATTTCAACCTTGACCTTTTCAGCCAAATTCTTTTAACTGTGCAGTTAAAATAGTATTTCGATTGAATAACATTTATGTTTTAGGTGTTTTGTATGGAGAGCTCTTTCATTCAAAATGTATTAAAATAAATGCTGTTATGTATAATATTTAAAATTAATTTTATATTAAATAACTCAAATAAAATTCATATAAATGAATGTTGCCATCAAATATGAAATTTTTATTTTTTTTTTATTTAATGAGAAGCTTATTTTCTAACGGACAGTTTTATTTATTTATTTCAAGATTTATTTACGTATTCACTTCATTGTTCATTCCAAAATAGTGTTTTTCATCTTTTGTTTATTTACTGAGGCTCTATCGCATTACTAATTAATGTCTCATTCCAGGTATCGACTACCTACATCCAGACCTGGCATCAAATTATGTGAGTAGCTTCGTGTTGCTGAATGTTCTTAATTTTCTTTCATTCCTTTGAAGGGCTGTTAATAAGTGAAGCAAGGGTTGAGGATTTCACGGGCCTTGTGTGACTTCTCATTGGCACTGACAGGTGCTCTCTGAGTTGCCTTCATGGCTGCCGAGTCTCCTTGTATCCCGGGAGGACACGAAGACAGGCAGACGGCCAGCCAAGCTGTTTAATGTTAATGCACAGCACACTGTGGCAGACACAGTGGCAGGCCGTTCTGTCACTTGCTGAGATAATGCCAGGGTAGTTGGTGCTGCATAATGTGATGTTTTATCTCTAGAATACTGATAAAACTTTAAAGGACAAGAAGGATTGTGAAATAGAACATAGTGATGAAGGTTTAGTGTGACTTTTACAGTGACTGCAGTTCTGTGCGTCTGGCTGGCAAGTTTAGTTTATCTTGACTTGTTGGTTTTTCTTGTTTCAATTTGCAGTTTACTCACTTTTCTCAGACTTGAACATAACATTGTATTGACAACCCTGGAGCCTCTAGTTTTCCTTCCACCTATTGGTTCTTGCTGAAATACACCCTGTGCGTAGATTTACGTTGCCTTGCAAAATTATTCACACCCCATCGCTTTTTGCATTACATTATACCCACAAACTTCAATGTACATTATTTGGGTTTTGTGTGAAAGACCAACACAAAGTAATGCATAACTCTGCAGGGGAGGCAATCTTTGTTTACCCCGGTTTAATCTGACACCACAAAATATTATCTGGTCCAACCGGATACCTTCATAAGTTATTATCACATACAATGTAGTCTAAATAAATGCAGAACAGTATTTTGTTAAAGAAAACTAGAAAACAAAAATGTCAAATACACCAAAAACCAAATAGTCATATAGTAGTGGATATGCTTAAAGAAGGACTTAGTTCTCAAACAATATTATAACTTTGAACATCATATGGATAATTTTTTAATTTATTGGTTAAAAACAGAAAGTGCAAGATACTACTACATTCCTACCAAGACACGGTCATCTACCAAACTTGACAATTCTCAAGAGAGGAGGACTAATAAAGCAAACTGTGGTGAATCTCACTATTGACAGGACCGTGATTTGGTATGCCTTCACAAATCTGACCTTGATGGAAGAGATTCATGAAGGAAGCATTGTTGACACAAAGCCATTAGAAATCCTGAGTGCATCCGCAAGACATGTGGTGACACAGCAAGGTGTTTCATTCAGATTACATGAAAATGAAATTTTGTAGCCTTCATGCAAACTTCTATGTATGGCAGAACACTGAGTAAAACATTTTATATCAGCCATAATAACACAAAATCTACACTGTGGTATAGCAATACTTTTCTTCAGCAAGAGTAAGGAAGCTACTATAGAGAGGTGATGGCAAAATGGGTGCTACTACATGACAGGGGAATCCTTAAAAAAATCTGTCCAAAACTGTTGAACATTTCAAATCAGAGAGGAGGTTCACCTTTCACATTTTAGAAATATACCCTAAAACATTTTTTTTTGTTTGTAAAGTTGTTTTCTCTCTGTGTGCATGTGTCACTCATCACCATGTTTGCCTGCCTTTGCATGCAACAGTGTGTGAACAAAGATGAGCTGTGGCCCAAAAATAACACGCAGACTCAGCCGTGGAGATGCAGGAGCATGCTTCACTAGATTGATGCATCACGCTGTGCCGTAGATGTCTTTCGAATGCGTGTGTGTGTGTTTCTTTGAGTTAGATGTTGCTTAGGAAAAAAAAAATGACACAGCATGACAGATCCGGTTTTGTTAACGTTGTCATGGTGTTTTTTAAACCTCCTACTATCAGCTGAAAGAGAAATTTCATAAAATATCATTTGAGCTCATCACATCTTTTAGTTCAGTTTAAATCAAACACGTTTGGATATTTCTGCATTACATTTTGTGCTGCGGTGTAACAATCATTCAGGAAATGCTCATAAGATGTATTTTGTTATGGTGGATTAAGACTGAAACTGTGTTGCTTGCATTAAGCAATTCCTAACATGGTGGTTTTAATTTCATGGCACATTTACCAGTGGATGCCAACAGGCAAAACACAGTGATGAGCTTTGGATAAAATAGATCTTCATGAAAATTTATAACAAATTGATGCAGCTTCCAGTATGCTCATTTTCTGCTTTTGCTTATTTTCTACTTTTATTAAGTTCAATTATTTGAATGGTGCTAGAGTTAGATCTGTTTTCTGAATGTGGTTCAGTTATTTATTTATGTTTTTTATCTCTCTACTTCCCACACATGATCGATACAACTACTGGCTACAGAGGGGGATTTCTCAGTACCAGTAGGATTGATAGGTGACCTTTCTCTCCCTCTGCCTGCTAAATAAAACACGTGTAAAAGGAGAAAAGGAGAAATGTGGAATGTTGTGTCACCTAGCGGGACTCTTACTGTGCAGATGGGACGTTACCATTTCATGACTGAACGTTAGAGGAAGTTAAAACGAGCAATGTTATTCATACAACTCGTCAGCTTTCCCAGCTTCAAGATGAAGCTATCAATCGAATGGAATTTTTAATTGACATTCCTGATTGTGAAATCTGTCTATTAAATAGAGCAGCATATTACCCAATTACCCTGAGTACCAGTAGATATTTCTGTATTATAAACCCAGAATGTTATGTATAATCCAATGGACTAACATATTGTAAACATATCGGCAGGGTAAAACTGTACACATATAACCAGGAAAAAAAGAATGAACAATTTTTACACTTTAAAAAAAATTACAATTATCAACATGGCTTTGCAGACTTTTTTGTACATCTATTCTGTAACCCTTAATTTTGTCTTACATAACTTTTGACCCTATTTAATCATAATAGCTGAAGAGAAAAAGCTGAAAGAGAATAAGAAGAATACAATTAATCTTAGCTGTCGTTTTAAAGAAAGCACAGATAATTCGAAATAAGTTTCAATCATTTACAAATGACAACCTGTGCGCATTCTTCAGCTACAAGAAATGCAATCTATCACAGACAAAAGCATCAAGCTTAGCGTAATTTGAAGAAGTATGCAAAAAGAGAGAAATCAGTTCTGCCATGTTCAGAAACATTTGAATGGTTTTGGAGAAGACAAATCACAAATCAAAAATTATTGCATTTGATTAGTATTAGGATTATTCTATAATAAAGATGGAGATTACCCAGTAAAGTTTAGGATTAACCTCAATCTAAAGCTGACTCACTGGTTTCTTAGCGGTATTGTTTATTGGTTATCCTGGCAGAGAGGTTAGGGATTGCTGTCATGGGTTTGGTTAGACTTATAGACCACACATCTAAATGATTTTATATAATTAAGTTCGGACATCCCTGGTAATATGCTGAAAGATGGCAATGCATTAGTCTGCTTCAATTTGCAGGCATTAGAAACAGCTGAAACAGAAGCTTGATGACAGCACCAAGATAATCAAGATGGTTGGAGGAAAACTGTACTCCCTTTCTTCTCTTTCAGTAATGTCTATGAATTACCTTGTCATGACTTCTAAAGCAATAAAGAACTTTTGATGTATTTTTCTTAGATTACCATGCCTTAATCTTTGAAGATGAGTCTTGGTGTACTCTTGGTGTACTCTTGGTGTACTTATAACTGCATTTAGACATAAAAGAAGAAAATAGGAGCCTTACTATGGTGTGTCTGCATGATTTTTTCTTTTAGCAGTCAGGGGTTGCCAGGAACAGATGAGGTGACTAAGGCTTTAGTAATTCTGTACCTGGCTGCACTCATGGCAGCAAGGAAAGAGAGTCTGATTGATAGCAAAAGATATGAGTTTGAGGTTCAGTAAGTGATCCATGGACTTACTCCCATGTTATTTATTGCCATGGCTCGTGACTTTTTATGTGGTTTATTGAAACAGAAAGAAAGCATGTGTTTTTTTTTTCTCTTCAAAAATGTTCTCTACACATTGCAATGTTTTAAGCATTTTTCTAAGTGTTTTGTAGTTGAGCTTCTTAAACATTTTTAGCCTGCTCTTTTTTTTGTTAATTGTCTTAGAAAGGAAACAAATCAAAGAAAGAAAATATCAAACACAAAAAAATACCAGTTTAGTTGACAAAATGGAAACAACTATTGACAGAGGCTTCTTGTCTTGTCTTTGTTGCCCTCCTCACAATTTCATAATATGGCAACAATAAAAAAAATGTACAAATACAAAAATGATCACAAACATTGAAAAGCATTACAAACGCCTCACAAATACACGAACACAAAAATAAGAATGTATGTCAAAATAAATGTAGAATAAAATATGTCAGAATAAAAATAATTAATATGTGATTCCCACTGGTTCAAACCAGCTGACTTGTCTTCTCTAATTACCAGCCAGTTGTCTGGCAGAAGCAGCAGTGACAAACCAGTCTCCTAAAACTGATCTGATATGGTTGAGTCTACTGCTGATGCACCGAGCTGCAGATCTTCTGTTCTCAGATCCAGAAAGAATATGTGTACATGTAGCACTAGTACAGAACCAAACACCAAACACGAGTATGTGAGTGAAAGTCTGAATGAGATTTCAAAATGTCTGATAATTGCATTCATTGGATATATGAGCATTTAACAGATGTGCATATCTTCTGTCTCCGTTTTCTTTCTGCTGCTGTTTATTCTGATCCTTTGACTATCGGTCATGTGAAATTAAATTCTGAGTCATTATTATCTCAGTTTGAAGTACATGCTGTGGCCAGACATCAATGTTGCCCAGTGAACATTTTTAATAAAATGTGGAATCAAGGAAGACAAAGAAGGAGAATTTGCTTTATTTTCTATGTTTATTAGAAACAAAATGTTAATAATAACTCATACCTCATCAAAGTTATTATACTGGGAGCAACATGAATCAATTACAAGACTTAAATTATGTTTTGGAATAAAAAAAAATAAGTGGTAAGGCTCAGGTTTCATCTAAAATCTGACATCTAAGGCACTCAAATGAGGAAATGTAGAAAGAATGTCGACAGCAGAAAAGAGGCAATATCATAAGAGGTAATGGTTTTGCAATTTGATGCCACATCTAATAGTTTATACTTTGTAGTATTATATTTCAGAGGATGTAGATTAAAAATCATTATGACTGAGAAAGACGTGACCTGAAGAAGTTTATTTGATCTTTAGCACAGCATAAAAACAGAACACAAAATGACCATAATTGTTGATAAAATGTCTGCAGAAAACACAAAATTACCTCAAAGAATATTAAAATCCTTAGAAATATGAAAATGAATGTTCACAGCCTTCACATTATAACTTTGTAACTGAATAAAGAACTAACTTTATTAAAAGTTTAAAAGTATTAGTTTCTGAAGGGCAAATTCAATGGTTTCATTCTCATCTTTGGTTTTCTTTTATCTAACCAAACATAACTAAGGACTGGAATAATAGAGAAAGAAAGGAAGTAAGAAACCCAGGGACTAACCTCTTCACAATTAAACTGTTTCCTTCAGTGTGAGTATTGTCTTAATGCTGATGTTGGTATTGTCTGATCTTGGTCTTGAGACAGCTTTGGGTTGGACATATGGCACTAACTAAAATAAGTCTGTTTTGTGCATATGTTGGGACAAAACTTACTGAAGGAGATTTTCTTTTTCATACACGATGTGATTTATTTTGAGATCATTAATCTTTGTGACCTGTGTTATGGCAACTTGCTGTGCAGTTTGGACTTTGAGAGAAAACTGTTCACGTTGAACAATATTAACAACTATGCTTAAAAAAGAAAAAGCTTGTACCTGTTGTTTATAAGGTTAGGACTTTACAATGTAATGTTTCTCACTGCCCATCTCCTGTTCACTTACTGCTTCTTTGTTTGTTTTTGTCTCAGCATTTCTATTTTCATAAATGCATCAATTTGGTCCTTTCAGAATGCCGATGCCAGCTACGATTTTAGCAGCAACGACCCGTTCCCATTTCCTCGATACACAGATGACTGGTTCAACAGGTAATGCCCGTCCAGACATCCCTCCTGTTTACATACACATCCCGAGTGTGTTTTTATGTGCAAACATGTGCGCTCTATCTGGAGTCTGCTCGCTCTGCCCTATTGATTTTCTCTCCACATAGTTCTATTAAGACAGCAAAATAAACAGCGACATTGTCCAGCAGTATGACAGAAGAAAACCACATTGCTTATTTTTAGTCAGTGAAATGACTGCATGGAGTATGTAAAAAGTAAAGCTCCTAAGTCAATGTCTCAAAAGATATTGCATATATTAGTGACCTTCTGTTACTAAAGCCTGATCAGACTCCTATTTCCTAGCATAAATATGTAAAAAAAAACATGGAGATAACACATTACAAATCTTGTTGTATTTGCACATCTGCTTCCATTTGCCTTGATGAATGTGTGTCTGCACCTCTGTGTCAAATTTAGCAGGCGGTGCTTTGGTTTAATAGCAGTTGCTGACTGCAATTCTCGCTGGCTAGTCAGCTGGTTGTTATAAATAGCTGCCTGTCTGGTGCAAGGCATGCTGGGAAAGAGGGGTTGACTCTGCAGTGTCCCTGTGGGGGTGCAAAGAGATGGCAACATTACACGGTGAACACAAAACACAGATGTGCACAGGCTATTCTGTTAGACATCAAATATTGTAGTTAGGTGCCGGACAAATGTGAGTTAAATTTCAGGATTAGAGTGTTTACGGCATCAAGATTCTTTATCTTGATCGTTTAGCCATGAACAATCTTGTTAAAGTCCGACAAACGATCTGCAGCAACCAAGGTTACAGCTGATCTGTGAAATCTTCGCTCAGACTTTTCCAAGAAGATATCATTTGCAAATTTATGCAAATTCATTCAAATCCTCACAAGTCATTTCTTTCCTCTCTCTTTTTTTTTTTTCTTTTTCTGTCACCAGTCATGGCACACGATGTGCTGGGGAGGTTTCTGCGGCAGCCAACAATAACATCTGTGGTGTGGGAGTCGCCTACAACTCCAAGGTGGCAGGTGTGTGTCATGTAGAAAACCTGCACATTGAAGAGAGAGGGGGAGTGACAATGAAAAGATGACAACGTTAAATAATAGCTTTGATAACAGTATGATGACAGCCTCACAGATCTGATGCAGGTGATTTACAGAGAGAGGGAAAGCACAAAATATAGGCTGTTGTACGGAAAATTGTGCTGAGGGGTGTTCATATGGTTCACCTCTATGCACAGAGGTGGAAATTATTGAGATTGCTGTGGTGGAAAACAAAATTGATGCATAAAATTGAGATATGAAATAAGTAGGTTGAATTTTTATTTGCATGTTGCTGTGATGGTGACTGTTTTTGTCTTCTTTTATTAAGGTATGCACATTTTTTTTTTTTGTGCAAATCAAATCAAACAGAACCAACTGTTTTTCTTAAGTCCTTATTTTATATTTCATTGCTGTCTTCATCTGCCAGGAAAAATGAGTAACTAATAAAAACAAGATTCTTGTCCTTTTAGGCATCAGGATGCTGGACCAACCTTTTATGACTGATATCATTGAAGCATCATCGATCAGCCACATGCCTCAAGATATTGACATATACAGTGCCAGCTGGGGACCAACTGATGATGGCAAGACTGTGGATGGACCGCGGGAACTTACATTGCAGGCCATGGCTGATGGTGTTAATAAGGTATAAAGGAATCAACTAGATGTTGAGTCGCAGCTTTCTTCAGGCTTATACAGCCTGAGACACCGGCATAGGACATGTTAATAAATAAATTGAAAATATATTGATCTGGTCTTCTTGTAAGACATTTTGGACCAATGGTTATTGACCTTCTGGGCAATATATCATGAAGATTTGTCTTTATTAATCCTATCACCTGCTTTTGAAATACTCATGTGACTGTCTCAAAAGCTGTAGTTGCCAGGGTTCGCTGACAATCAATTAGTGTATGCCACAATATCACATGCAATGAAGGTGATTCTGCAACACTGAGATAAACCTTGTGTCTTTGTCCACTTATAAAACTTCATACACCAAGGCAGCTATTAGGACCGGGGCATACATATTCAGAAACTCATCAAATAGCCAGATAACTATTCTTGCTGAAGACATTTGGCATTTATGCCATTTTATAGCACAAAATTTGAATTGAAAGATGAAGAAAACGTCACCACTTCAGCTCATCTTTTTATTTTAGCGTAAAAGCCGCCTTGAATTTTTAATGCACTTGCATGCTGGTGTAGAAACGTTTCCACTGAACTCTGTGTTGCTTGTTAATGCTCCGGCCATTATTACAGCAATTTTTCATTCAGCTATGTTCTTATGGAAATGATGAATATAGACAAGAAGTTGTGCAGATACACAAATGCATTGCTCTTATGACAGAAAGATCAAATTATGCACACTAAATACATTCATCATGCTGAGAACAAAGAACACCTATTTTAGATAAACTGTAGTAACAACATTATTAGAGGTCGTAGCACTTGATAGTACCTTAATCTAGCCCAATACAGTGATTTATATATATATTTTACATGGACTTTCTTTTATTTCTACATCCTAACCCTGTGCCTTATCCTACATTAGTAACCAGTGATTGCAACCTTAAATTAATTCACACCTTTGTGCTAAATCTAAGCCCTAACTCAAAAACACCTCTCAGTCAGTTCCCACAATGTAGGATGTGTTAGGAAAATGGTCCCTACCATGTATCAAATACAAGACCACACACACACACACACATACACACACACGCACACAGTTGTAAAGCTGACAGCTACACTGCCAATTACTTGCTTGATTAATCTTCATGCACCATGTGCGGGCAGGTGCAAGCTGGTCTGAAACAACTCCATCTCAGGCAGAGTGGCTGAACAGAAGCACAACTCAATGAAACAAACATCACTTATCGTGCAGGCACTCTGCAATCTGCTGCTTACGGAAGATTCTAATGATCACTTATATAAGTTTCTGTGTTGGCTGTGCATGATATTCCCTTTGCAGACGAGGGAAATTAGAAAGTACATTATGTTCTAGAAGCGCCCAAACGAGACTGTGTGGTTTTAATCAAAATAAATAACTGAACTGGGCAAAAAATTAAAACACTTTATCAGAATTAGAGCCGGAAACAGAACAGTAAAATCCTAAAGCACAGCATTTAGCTCAGTGTTGCTCAAACCTCTCTTTTTAACAGGACACTATAGCCTAATGAGAGAGGGGAAAAGCATGTAATGTTGGTCTTGTTGTGAAACCATCAGCCTTTTGTAGTCACAGGTGCAGCAGAGAGAGAAAAAAAAGGATGCTCTCTGCCTGGAGAGACTGTTTGCTGTTTCCTTTTGTAAGACACCGGTATTAAAAAAAAGTAGCTACAGTTTTTTTTCCTACAATAGGTTATATGCCCTTTTCACCAAGGCAAGAGCAATTAACTGCTTTGAAAGGCGGTTCCGCAATACAATTTCTTCTGGTTTAGCTTTTTAAAATCACATTTAGAGGTTTCGGATTATCAAAATAACTGTATTGTCGAAGATCCCCTGGTCATGAGGATTTCTTTTGCAAAGATTTAAAGCTACCCTAATCAATCTGATGCTTTGTAAAAATATTATTATTTGCACAAAAAACAGTCAAAATGTTAGCCATTGTTTTACATTTTGAAAATGAGTCGCACATTGCATACAACTCTCCCGTCCTTCGTGGCGCTGCTGTGTTTTGGAGTCACTACATTTGTGACAGATCTCATTAGGTAGCTGTGTGATTAGGCAGTTTGTTCCGCAGTGTTGGACCAAAGAGGCTACAGGCAATTTTTCCAGGAACAATTAACCAACCACCACCTGGCGACGACAGAGTTTTGATTGGATTGTAGTGTATGAGTAATTTAGAAAAATATGCACCAAAGAGACCGATTTTTTAATAAACAAAGGAATTTTAAAAATGCTGATCCTGATTGTATAATTACAGTAAGATTAAAATTCCCCCTTTCTCTGTCATCACTTTAACTTCAAGAACCCCATGAGAAATAAGGAGTAACTTTGATGTATTTCTGCTTCTCTGGATAATGATGTTTTAGGGGCGTGGAGGAAAAGGCAGCATCTATGTATGGGCGTCAGGCGATGGCGGTAGCTATGACGACTGCAACTGTGACGGCTACGCCTCCAGCATGTGGACCATCTCCATCAACTCTGCGATCAACGATGGCCGCACCGCCCTGTATGATGAAAGCTGCTCCTCCACGCTGGCGTCCACATTCAGTAACGGGCGAAAACGCAACCCGGAGGCTGGTGTTGTGAGTGCGCTCAGATTTAATTGTGGGCATTTCATAAGAGTGACAATAAACAAGCCAGATTAGTAAGAAGAAATTCCCGATAATACTTCTAACATTTAAAGATGATTCAGCTTTATTTTCTCCGAAGTTCTTCACATAACTGTCTCGAAAGATCCTGTCACATTCTCTAAAAGATATTACTGCAGTCATAGACTGAACAGTTATTTGCACATTTTCTGTGAACACAGCATATCTGTATTCCAGACCCTTCATGAGATTGAATGAGTCCAGGAAATTGCTTTATGACTGAGAAAAATAGTGGAGGCTTAGCTGGAGGTGTAGCTCTTTCCAAGAAACAAGCCTGACATTCAGATTTCTATTTTTGTTTTGATGCTCAAAATGATGCTGGTGAAATTGTCCGCATTAGAATTCTTCAGCATTAAAATTTCTCTCAGTTGTTTTTAAGGGACACTTTTTTTTAATGAAACTGTTTGCTTGTGTATTTAGGACACATTTGTGAATTTGCACACATTGGACAATTCAAAATTGGACCTTCTTTTTTGGTTGCCATTTATAATTTTATTTATTTATATATTATTTTATTTAGGCACAGAAAGTAAGTGTTGACTTTAATACTTCATTAAATTTTTCACTCACAATGTTTGCAAAACAGGAGTTTGCAAAATTGTCCTCCGAAGTATATATCAGACTTTGATCTTTTCTATTTAGATACTAATTTGTAATATTCTTACATCTAAGTCCACACCTTACGAAGTGTTATAAACCAAGAGATTTTTAATACGCCTGTTTACAGAGGCAGCGGTGTTTGGATGATTATGCAAATCACCTTTGGCTGTTGACAAAGTGCAATCTTCCCAAGGGGTTTTTCTCATAATTGCAGTTAATCTGTTGTCATTTTTTATTAAGTACCGTATTTAGTAAATAAATAATTCTTCAGTCTGATGGTGCAATTTTGTCTACTCTCACTCATCATACTTTGAATTATACAATTTAGAAGCCACAAAAAAAAAAAGGTCTCCAATCAACAGATGAGGATTAGACTTTACTTCTGGTCAAAATAAAAGCTGAAGCACACAGAAATACTGTCTAATATGTCTTGCTAATTGATTAAAATCTCTTGAAGCCTTTATTTTGTCCTTCCACAACTACAAACTTCATTTCATTGCAGTGTTAAGGACTGCATATCTATTCAACACCCTAGAAACAATCCTTATAGAATTGTGACCGACATCAGCTTTATACATCTAAACATTTTGCCCAATGTTTTTTGCAGATTAGGTGAAAATCTGGGACTGGGGCTAAGATCAATAGTCTGAGCTTCAAAGCAGTCATTGATTATAGGTTTTTATTTGTTGCGATGCATCTATGAAGAAACTGGGCTCCAACATAGAGAAAATATTAAATTAATAGCCTCAGATTATAAATGCGTTAACACAAAAATCTAATTGTTCTTTGCACTTTCATAAAATAAGCTTCTTTAAGTCTTTACTAGTCACTACATGCGTAACATTTTTAAAACTGACTTTTATTTTTTCTGTTGCTGTAATTTGATTATTTCAGGCTACAACAGATCTGTATGGAAACTGCACTCTGCGTCACTCTGGAACATCAGCAGCAGCACCGGAGGCAGCAGGCGTCTTTGCTCTGGCTCTTGAAGCTAAGTATGTGCTCCACACTCCCTTTTCACATGCCTATCATAATTGCACATATTGATTCAGATGGACTGTCTGCATGAAAGAGCATTAAGTTGACTCTTTGAATGATACTTAGGCTGAGAAGGTGGCAACCAGCACACACAATCTCTGTATATGATATTTGGTTATGCTTTCCTTTATCCCCATCACCCTTCATCTTCACATTCTATATTCTTGAGTGACCGAACTCTTTAAAGGTGAAAGATATTGCTCCTTCTTTACCAGTGTACATCACGTCTTACAGAATTCCTTATTTTTCACAATAGCAACCTAAATAAACCTTCTGTGATTCAATGGAAATTAATAATCCTTGGATCAGTTAACAGATCACAGTAGAAGATTGAAAGAAAAGGGCCTAGTGAACGGTTGAAGAAGAGTGACTTTGTCTCATTATGTCTCAGACAATAGGGATTCATTACAATCCGCACATGGCAAAAATGTTATCTAAGAGCTAACAGTGAGACCAAACGCAAGGACAATAGAGATTTGTTATTTGATATCAAATCTATGATCTACAGCATTTCAAATCCTGAGAGAGACCCAGTCATTCTTTCCCCCCTCTCTCTCTCAGGACTTTGCTTCTCACATTAAAGGCTGACACGATTCTCTGGGCATTAACTAACATCAGCTGATGGAGCTGTGTAAAGACGCACTGTTTGCTCAGCACACACAATAATGATGTTGCTGTCTGAAGACCGGATGCCCAGCTGCAAATAGCTCACAAGCCTTTTTACTGCCCAAACACACTTGAACCGTAGAACAACATGAGTCTATCAGAGTAAAGCTGTCACTAAAAACAGCTAGATACAGACAATGGCAACCGTCCAAGCCTAAAACACAAACACTGACATTGAATGCTTTTAGCTATTCTATTTTTATAACCAACATGTTTTGTTTAGTTTTTTTTTTTTTTCTGGAGGACTCTCTGTAGGAACGCTCTGCCCTAAATCTTCCTCTGTGTATTTTATTTTTATTTTTTTTGTCTTAGCCCTAACCTGACATGGAGAGACATGCAGCACCTGTCAGTCCTGACATCAAAGCGAAACCAGCTCCATGACGAAGTCCACCAGTGGAGAAGGAACGGTGTGGGGTTGGAGTTCAACCACCTGTTTGGGTATGGCGTGTTGGATGCTGGAGGGATGGTGAAAATGGCCAACGAATGGAAAACGGTTCCAGAGCGTTTCCACTGTGTAGCTGGTTCCATCCAGGAAGCCCAGTAAGTTCCTTCCTTTAAATTAATATTTAGATGACAGGTTGTCATAAAATGCTATTTCATTCTGCGCATCTACAGATTGCAACCAACCTTCCAAGATTTTTAGAGAGGAAAACCCTGCAAACTGCAGGAGAGACACTCTCATCTAATTACTGGGTAATCCCCAGTACGACCTAATTCAATAAAACATTCATAATTAGAGTATCCACTTAATAACCCTGCAATATTTATATTGGCTTCTCAGTCTGTTTTGTCCTGTAAACAGGGTAATTTAGAAATTCTTTATTTGTTTGTCAAGATAAAGTATTTTAGCATCTTGAAGATATTCAATGACATCCAGTGCATTTTTTTATCACACTCAGTCATATTCAAATAACACTGATGCCCCAAAGAAATTCAGTGTCCAGAATACATTGTATGTCCTAATTTTGGGATTTTTCTGAAATAAAGGTAATGCCGATCAAAAACCGATTTGATTCAAAGCACTTTTATTCTGATTTGATTTGTTTTTTTAATCTCCAATATGGATGACAAATTTGGTCACAATGCATGAATAGAAAACTGATTTTTAGTGTAGACATGCTGATCGCCCAGGGAGAAAAACTGCCCACTTACAATCTCTGCTTGATTTACTTGTGAGTCTATAAATTAAAAGATTTTTATTTAATTTAGGACAATCCAGTCCAGATTTCTTAAAATATCATAGGTCATGGATACATTTTCTGTAAGAAACTGTTAGTTGGCCCTTTAACCCTTTGCAGTTTGGAAACAAACTTGAGCATTGTTTTGTTTCATGACTTAGCCAAACTGAAAGCTGAGGAAAGAGTCCATTTAGCTTTATTAGCTGGTCAATCCATTGTTGTTTCACAAACAATGGATTGTGATGTTTAAAGTGTTTAGGAATAATCACGACAGACAGGTGCATTAGATGGGATGTAGCATCAAGAGCAACGAATTTCATTTATTTATTTTGTTTTTTTAACGTATTTTTTAAAGCACTAAGAGTAACCGATGGGGGGTAAAATCTGGGCTTTGTGATATTACAAGAAAATACGGAACATAAACAACAGAAAGATGGAAAAAAATCCAATTTTGATCGTTTTTGTCAGCTTGCATGGATCTGCTGAAAAATCTGAGGAGTTCTTTCATTTTTCAGTTTGTGCTTCCCCACAATGTGTTCATAAAAAAAAGTGGCAAATTTATGTTCTGCAATAAACTAGTCAACAATATTGTCATATTTCTCCATTTCTCCCTGATCAAATTCTGAATTATTTTATAAATAAAAGTATTATTTCAGTTCTACATTTGGCATAGCGCTGAAGAAAACGTTGATCTGAACATCTGAGACTCCTGTTTCTAAGATACTCTCCACCATCTCACGATAATGGTGGAGATGACTCACATTTTTTAAGTCAAACATTATTTAAGAGATGAGAAGCTCTATAAAAATGTTCTTTATACGGCAAAGTTTATTGGGAAGGAATACCAGAAATAACAACTCTCGTTTTAAGCCTTCCAATAGTCTCTTAAAAGCTGATTCACTGGCACTGTCATACATAAATATATATATTTTTTATCAGTTCTTTGTTTCCACAGCAGCACTGCAAGGCTTCTACTGCCTGTATTGTGGTGGAGCTATAATTACAACAATCCCACCTCTGTTGATAGCATATTATCAGAGAAAAGCAATAAACACTGTTGCAGCCATGCTCACAAACGCTGCTCAGCAGAGATCTGATAGCTTCTCTGGCTGTTTATGGCTTACTTAGTTGGAGGAAAACTTCTCATTATCAGCTGAGCTGGCACACAGAGCACCGCAGAGCAGTGTGGTTGTTTTTAATCTGGAAAGATTCAGCCCGTCAGCAGCACCTCTGTCTTCACTTTGTGGGTTTGCAATTACGCTTGCATATTGTCCAACGGCACATGTGAAAATGCTCATCTAAAATGTATTCACATGTAATTTTACTGTTAAAGTAAAAGCATATATTTGAATCACATTTTTATAAAAAAAAAAAAAAAAAAAAACAGACAGAAAAGGCGATTTTGGCAATTTGGAGGTCAGTAAAACAGATTTATATCCACAGTTTAAACTTAAATGCAGTTACTTGTTGAAACACCAACATAAACATTATAATTTTCACTCTCCACCACAAGAATTGGTTTGAGGGTAATTAAAAACAAATAAATCAATAAAATGTTTTCTTTGTCTTAGGGCAGATGGATGGATGGATGGATGGATGGATGGATGGATGGATGGATGGATGGATGGATGGATGGATGGATGGATGGATGGATGGATGGATGGATGGATGGATGGATGGATGGATGGATAAGTAGGTAGGCAGGTAGGTTGGTAGGTTATCTTTTAGTCCTGAAAAGTTGTTGCTTGCTGTGTAACACCTTGGCTTGTTAGACTTGTTAGTTTTCATAGATATTTTCTTTTTCTGTCAGCTCAGCTCAGTTTTGTGCTCAGTTAATCATTTTTCTTTGTAGTTTCCAACACTTCTCCTTCACTTTCCTTTTCTTGCCACTTTTTGTCTGCTTCTCACTGCCTGTGATGAGACCCCAGCCTCTAATAATGGTATTAAACCTCTTCACAGCCTTTGGGCACCATGTACCCTGCTGTGTTCTTAGCCTGTCTCTTCACCCAAAGAGGTGGGAAAGCAGTATGTTTTCTTAATCAAAATCCCAGACACAAGCTGAAAGTAGGATCCTTTTTAGACTGTGATTAGAGTTTCTGTCCTGAAGACATCCATTATCTCTTTACTTTCTGAATCTCTTTCTCAAAAATTGCCTTTAACCATTTATTTGTGTTCTTGTTTTTAAGTAAATTCCAGTCTGGCAATAAGCTGGTGCTAGCCATTACCACTGAGGCCTGTCAGGGAAAGGACAACTTTGTCCGCTACCTGGAGCATGTCCAGGCCGTAGTCACTGTCAACGCCACCCGCCGTGGAGACCTCAACATCAACATGACCTCACCGATGGGGACAAAGTCCATACTGTTGAGTCGAAGGCCCCGGGATGACGACTCCAAGGTTGGCTTTGACAAGTGGCCCTTCATGACCACCCACACCTGGGGGGAGGACCCCCGTGGCACCTGGGTCCTGGAGGTGGGTTTTCGGGGCGATCAGCCTCAGCGGGGTGTCCTCAAGGAGTGGACTCTCATGCTGCATGGAACACAAAGTGCCCCTTACATAGACCAGATTGTCCGCGATTATCAGTCCAAACTGGCCATGTCCAAAAAGGAGGAGTTGGAGGAGGAGCTAGATGAGGCCGTAGAGAGAAGTCTGAAGAGCTTGATGAGTAAAAACAACTGAAATCAAAATGTCATCTGCATGTTGCCAATTGCTTCACTTTTCCCTGTATTTTCAGTCTCGCTCTCTGCCCACAGTATCACTACATCACCTTATTTTGTTCAGTGTTTCCTCTCTTCTGTCTCCTGCTCTGCCTCTCTCCTTTCTGCTTTTTTGTTATCAAGAGTTTCCCTCAGACACCTTTGATGAATGTTTCTCCTAACAATCATGACAAAAGTATATCCCTTAATCAACGGTCGTAGAGAAAGCAAAACTATATCGGCAGAATTTTACATTGCAATGAATTGTACATATACCACGCCAGCGTTTCATGCTATTGCTTTCATGCCCTGCACCTTTCTTCTGCCAAATGTTGTACAGTTTTTTTTTTCTGTGACTGTAAATGATTTTCTGTCTCATTCTACTTAAACTTTAATTTTATCGCAAACATAGCAGTGATACTTCTTTCCGTCTGTATTTTTGTGAAATTTTTGTAATCAAGGAAAGGAATGTGTAATTTATTTTGCAGAGTGCGGTCATCTTTCATAACCTTTGACGTATATGCTATAATAAACCTATTCAGCTATTTATTAAAGCATTTGAGTGATTTGGAGCACATCACCCAATATTTTTTTCTTCTAAATAAAGATTTCTACTCTATCAGTTCAGTGCCCCAAACTGCACAAATAAATGAATAAATCAAACGATGGATGCCCCCCCCCAAAAAAATGTGGAAAATACAACAACTGAAAAATAAATATAAATACACGATCTGAGAAACCATCTAATTAGAAAACAGACTTCAATTGTATTTTTTGTTATTTTAGTATAAATGCAATACTATCTGAACTGTTGAAAATAGAGTATAAAAGCAGCAGGTCTGTTAAATAAGAGTTTGGATTAAAGGGACAGTTCATCACAACCTGACATTTATTGCCTCTGGGTAGGGAGCTCTAATTAAGGCTGCTAAGCTTCAGTACAGAGAATAGCAACAAATAACCACATTTCTATTTGTGGAACAGTGAGACAGAAGAAGAACGGTAAATATTTTGATCTACATGGGTTTTTCTGGAGTCATCCTTGCTTTTTTCTATATCTTTTCCATTTTCAACGTTTTATATTTTTCAACGACATTTGTAAAAATTGCACATATGTTTGTGAGCTATTTAGGGATATCAAAATTTAAGCTTTGTAAAATTTTAACATTTTTCATTCTGGAAAAACTGATTGCCCTTAAACCTAATAATTGTCTCTAATCCGCCTTCGGTGGCAACAGCTGTCACAAAATATTGCCATTCCACTCCATTCCACTTTTTTAATTCAGCCACACTGTGAGGTTTTCAAGCTTGAACAGCCTATGTAAGATCACATCACAAGATCCCAATTAAATTCCAGGATTTAAACAGGTTAGATCAAAACTTTATTTATTTTTTTAACCATTTAGATGTGGGCTTGATAGTGTGCTTCTGATCATTTACCTGTTGCATAACCCAACTATGACTGAGCTTTTAGTCATGAACTGATGTTCTATGTTTTCTGAACTTGTAATGACTCTTGCAGTCAATCACTGGACTCCCTATCTTAGAAATGGTTTGGTATGTTCGGCGATGATGCATACACCATATGGTGGCTTGAGTCAACGAGGTGGTTGCCACAGGTTAGAGTCCTGGTCTGTTGACCCTTTCTGCATGTCTTCCCCCTATGTTATAACCCACTTTCCTGTCAGATCACTATCAAATAAAGGTCACTAGTTTAAAAACCATTAAAGAAAAAAATTATTGGTTTTGGTAACTGTTTCATCTTGAAATGAACAAAGCAAAACTGTAGCTGTTTGAGTCTTTTATTATTCAATATATCAAATCCAATTGATACACAGCAAACTAGTGCTGAGGGCAGAAAGTGGAATCCAATTAAACAATTAAGATAAAAGGGGAAAGCCAGAGTTCTAAAAGAGAACATCAAATGGGTGGCACAACTTCTTACTCTTTTTGAGAAAATTTTTTATTCTTTTTTTTTTAAGGTGGCATAGAGCTTTTAATCTTGTCCCAAGTTTTCAGACAGTAAAGTACTTAGTGCATGGCTGCTGGCTGAACACAAGTGAAATGCAATCAGGACTCAGGAGCAGAGACATCAAGCAAGAGGAATATCAGGGTTTAGTTGGTGTTCATGCAGGATGTGTGTCCCAAAGAGACTGAAACATAGGTGTTAGTCATTTTGCATTTAGTTATTCTGATACTAATAGCAACACTGTGTTCTCATTTAAGGTCCTGGACCACATTGCAGCCAACAGTTGATGTGTTTTCAATGTTTCTTCTTGCTCGACTTTTCAATCATGGTCTCCACCACCATGGAGGTTTCCTCGTAACCTTTGACTTTGCGATCCTTGGAGAACTTTTCCACAGATTCCACCACCTCCACCTTTTCATAACTCAAGGTGTCTGGGCTGAAACTACTCGAGCTGGTGGTGCTGGTGCTGGAACCGGTACTAGAACTGCTGCCACCATGGGCTGCAGGTTTTTTCTTGGGCTTGTCGTTCCCAGGCACAGGATCTTGGGAGCCTGAGTCCGACGGTGGAGATAAGGGATTCGGATCTTTTGAGAAAGGCTCTCCATTATTAGATTTACCTCTTCCTCCACTGTCTTTTGTCTTTCCACCAATGTTATCTTCTCCTGCATTGGGAGGCGGTGTGGGACTGAGAGGCCTGGGGTCCACCATGGGCTGAAGGGGTGGAGGAGAGGGCGTGCCACGTCCATGAGGCTCATAAGGATACATCATCCCATCTCCTATTGTGACAAAGATGCGACCGGCTGATGGAGTGGAAGTGTAGAAGCAGGGATCCAAGAAGCTGCCATCACCAGTAACAAGTACATAGCGACCTTTAGTATAGAAATCAGCGATTGGCTCAGGCCTCTGGTACTTTCTCATTCTGTCTCTGACAATGTTGCAAAGAGTGTCGAAGGCTTTGCTAATCTGCGCTCCATCTGGGACATCCTGTCGAGAAACTCCAGTGAGCGCAGCACCTTGATCTTCTTGTTTTACCCTTTTAGCCTGCACCTCCCCAGATGAGACCACATTAGATTCTTCATTGTCACCCTCTTCTGTATTTCTCTCCTCTTGGCTGCTGTCTATGACATCTTTTGGGCTCAGTTCTTTCTTCTTAAAGACCTTTTTAGCGAGTATCTTCTGTCTGGGCTTTATGCTTGTGATATCTTGGATAGCTTGGGTGATATCTGGGCATAAATAAAGACAAGTGACTAAACCTCATGAACTGATAAATATTTAAAATGACTTAAGTGGCAGCTACTGATTTTTTCTCATGCCGGTAAAGGCATTCATTTGTTAGCTTTGTAAAATTCAATAGTATTTACTACTCTCTAATATGATGGTAACTGATGATACCCTTCAGGGGGACTTTAAAAACAAACCAGCTGTGATTTGCTCATCATGTTCTTACCTCTCCCCCTGCTTGATGCACTGGGTGTGTGAGTGTAGCGGTAATTAGTGGTAAACAGGGTAATGGGAGTGCCAATTATGGCAGAATTCAACCTGCAGGTTAAGAAAAGAGAGGGAGATTAGAAAAAATGTCGCCCAGGCAACAGCGATGTGCTCAAAAGCTTTCACAACCTGGAAAACACACAATTGAAATTTCTTTCTGTAAGTAAGAAAGGGAAGAAATTAAAATGTGGAAGAGGGACAGATCTGTTAAGTCACAGAGCCACCTACTGGTGGATGCAATGTAATCTAATAACTTGTTAAGTTATCTTCTGCAAACAAAAAATTGCTTTGCTAAAAATTTACTGTACTTGCTCTTCACTTAGGTGATTTACAGTAAGAGATTTACTGTATCAGTAAATCACCAAAATGGTCTGGGGATATCAGCTGCCAGAATGTTGTTTTTAAACAATGAAAATAAGAGCAATGCTTCTTTTTTGGACAAAAAAAAAAAAAATCAAGTACTTCATTATGCCAGAATGTTTGACATTTTTTAATAGAAATAACATTTTGTCAATATACCTGAACAGAAAATTTATTGGTAAAATTTTAAAAATAAATAAATAAAAACAACTCTTCTCTCTAAATATAATGGTGCTACAAAGCACTTAACTCTGTTAAATCACTCTGGATGATTTTGAGCTCATTCTTGCTTGCAGGATTATTTTATTTATAAACTGTTAATCATATTTAAGTGCAGACTTCAAATTGACTACTCCAAAACCCTCATTACAAATGTTTAACCATTTCAAAGTGCAATGGTCTGGACACTAATCTAAAGCATCACTGTATATTAATTTTGAGCTTCAGGATATGAACAGAACAGAATTTTGTTTCGACAGGAGAATATGCGTTTCTATCAGCTATGGCAATTTATTTATTTGGTTACTGAAGCAGCAAAACAACCCCACACCACTTCACTTCCACCACTATATTGGACTGTTGGTGTGATTAAAACTAATATAATGAACTGTTACAAAAAAAAATCAAAAGCAGAATAAACTCTTTCTTACACCATTGCAGTTTCTTTGGGTGTTTGGGAAGGTTATAACATATGTTTGTTATTTGTGTGGACCAGGAATCATAAGAAAGAAGTCTACCTGTTATCTTCATTCTCGATTATCCTCTTGTATCGCTCCAGCTCGTTCTCAAGGGATGTCTGATACATGGCCAGGTGGCGACAATCACTGATATATTTTTCCAATGATTTCTCAGCTTCCTCAATCTCCTTCCGTAAAGAATCTATTTTCTCATTGTACAGCTGGATCTCATTGTCATATTTCTCTTGCGTGCTTTTGATGGTTTGCTCCAACATCGCAGTCTGAGAGAATACAATATCAACATTGTTAAAGAAAATACAATGTACAATCTTGATAATAATTGAGAATTGACTTTTTTACCCATATCATTATAATTTGTATTTTACACATGTAGGGTGGTGAAATAATGATTAAAATTATAATTCAGATTATTTAACATAACATCGGAGGAAGTAAAAATTGGTGACACCTGTACTTATACAAAAATTATTTCCACAAATATATGGTGCATCACAAATAAAAAATAAAAATGGAGTATGGAACATGTTACAAAAGTCACACTTGAAATAAAGCGATTCTTGCTCACATCTACTAGCTAAAAGTTTTAACAGCAGAAAATATTACTTGTGGCATCTTACAGTTTAGCACCATATCTGCCATAAACACATTATTTTTTAGAATTCAATACCTAATCAAAACTACTTATCCCTTCATTCTTTGACTGATTTAATTAGAATAAAATACATTTAGAAACACTCAACCCATAAGCAAAATATTGAGCTAAACATTGATCTAATATTTTGATCTGGTGTTTTGATATTCCAAATGTTTTATATCTTTGGGAGAATATAATTAAAAAAATAAAAACAGCTGCCTGATTTACATTATTATAAAATTATATTGATGTTAACTGGATTCATTCAATCTTTTGAATATGAAGGACATTCTTTAACGGTATGCATGGCATAAAGAGTGGAGCTGGGATTTTGACTAAACAAAGCAATTGTTATTAAAATGGCATGAAAAATTTAGGGGCATTCCAGTTTTCTAAAAACATAACTCATGCCGGTATTATAAAAGCAAGAGAAGCCAGCTCTACAAAAGGAATACTGTATTGTTTTATTTTTTCTGTCTTGCTACTTATGGATTGTCTTATTATGTTGTTGGGGAGTCTTCAAAAATCCCTCTTTGGGTTCCTGTGATTGATGTAAAGTGTCACGTTGCTGTGGCTACTTACCTCACTCTGTAAGCGTTGCTTCTGAATCTGCAGCTGATAGAGGGCGCTCTTGTAGTCTTCCAGCTGAGTCTGCAGCCCTGGTATTTTCTTTTGGGCCAGTAACTTCTCCTGCTCCTTCACAAAGGTAACACATTTTAATAGGCATTGGTTGCATATTCTGGCAGTGTGGTGCTAACTCCTCCCTGACATCAACTGATTACTTATTTGAGTTGACTTTAGGAATCTATATATAATTATACAAAGATTGTTTTCACAAATATATGGTACACCTCAACTAAAAAATAAAAACAAATGACTGACAAAGAATAAATGAGCTGTGAAATGTCAAAACATACATTCTGATCCGTGTGCTTGTCGTCTCCTAAAAAATCCTGATACATTTCAAAATTAAAGCAAAGCCTCTGTGACATTTCAATTTATAGAAAAACTAATAAGCTTTAATATGGAACTTGTAAATGAGATTTTGGATAGAAAAAAAAGAGGATCTACCATGATAGTTTGACAGCCATCAGGGTTAAACATTTATTTGAAATAAATTTATTTGAAATAAATTTTGAAGAGTGGCCAGAAAGACTTGATGGACATTTCCTTCTCAAACAAAATTTTTTTACTTTTTATTTATTTATTGGATTGCATAATAAAAAAAAGAAATCCATATGCATGCAATTCTATAGAAAATGATTCAGTTTTTAACTTACTTTGTGACCTTCAAAGCCTTTTTCTCAGTGTGGTCTCAATAAATAATTTGACTTCTATATTACTAATTAATATTGATTTTTTTTTAATGCATCCCTGATCAGGAGCACAGCATTTGATCAATAGTCATGAAACATGCTGGTGTTTTCAATAAGTCTTTAACTTATTGCACTAAGAAAAACTGTGTCTCTCAGCTCGTTGTCCATGGAGACAGAACCAATTAAACATTTGGAAGCAGCACTGCTTCTAAGACCCATTTAAACAAATAAATCTCTA